AGTTAAGCTACATTCAAGCTACCCTTCTGAAAAATTGAATAACTATTTAACTATACAGTATTTTATTATTGTATCGAATAGTTTACAAAATCAAATGTTTGGGACACTTTTTGTCATTGAAATGGCTTGGAAAAGTGTCCCAAACATTTGATTTTGTAAACTGTTCAATACACACAATAATAAAATACTGTATAGTTAAATAGTTATTTTAGTTATATTAGTATATTGCTACAAATGTCACATCAATGCAAGAACAAAATGTATGCAAGACGGAGGAGTCATAAAATAAGCAAGTTAAACTCACACAGCACATGCAGTATTTACTGACTGTGAATAGAGACGTCAGTCATCAGCTGCGCGCGTGAACACTGCGCTTTGTGTGAATCCCACCGCAACCATCCTTTGCCAAATGATAAGCACACACTACTATATCGTGATTTTATTTTCTGTTCGATTAGTGTTCATTACAAAACTGTGACAGATTATATTATGACCGTTCTTAGACCGCATTTTAATCTTTGTTTTGCATAAATTACAGTCGATTCATGTAACATATCCACTCCTGTATATCCTTTGCAATATCATCAGACGATCTCTTTTCGGTGGAAGGACTGTAAGGCCGCGCGATGCGTGATATCACAACTGATGGCGGTAATGAACAAATTTAGTTTGTGATCTCGTCAGAAGAAGACGCTGCGCTGTAGGGATGGGCGATACCACTTATTTTGTTTTCGATACGATACCGATATTTTTCAAGGCAGTATCGTCGATATCGATACCGATTCGATACTTCTGAACTAAACTTTTAAATGATGAAATGTATTAAATTATTAAATTACTAAGAGTAAAATGGGTAATGATACGGACTTAACTTTATGTTTAAAATGCATTTTAACATTCAATACGCCTTAATTGTAACTTATTAAGTTATATTTTTGTTTACAAATGGTTCAGATATGTTTTTTGTTTACACATGATTCAAATCTATAAATACTACAGTTGAACTATGGTCACTTTAGTAAAACCATAGTTCATTTTCATAAGGGACTGCCAGTGACAGGCTGTTGCATGCATAAAATGCAACCTTTTTATTCTGACAGTGTATGATTTCTATTAACATTACAGAATAGAACATGATCAATATTATGTTTCAACGTTCAATTTAAATAACTGTAATTGCACAAACTATGTAGGCTACAATTTCAGTTTGTTTATTGTGAAATAACTCTGTCCTTCTGTCCTTCTGTCCTCTGATAAGCATTGTTCAGGGCTGCAAAAGCTTTAATGCTTTCTTATGATACTTTTGGGAAACGCAGCCCCGTTTGAATGCACTGTCAGCAGTGAGTGAACACTCTCTGTGATTGATTGGTTCTGTCTTGCAACATTTGCGTGTCCAGATGAGCAGGAAAATAGTTCTATCCTACTTACTTGCCAACAAAGGTTATTCGTCCAATTCAATGCATATTGTATGCATTATATTTTTGTTAAATTAACAAAATCACTGGTAAATAAAACACACCTTAGTATCGATATTTTTTGTTTGAGTATCGATACTTTCGATACTCGCGTCAGTATCGATATATCGATACTTTGGATCGATACGCACATCCCTACTGTGCTGCTTCAGTGTATTACAGGCTCTCGACTCGTCAGAACGCAAAACGGAATGTAGCATTTGGTCGCGCTACTTGCTGGAAAAAGTAGCTAGCTACAGGAAAAGCTACACTGTTTTAAAAGTAGCGTCGCTACTGTAAAGCTACTGAAAAATGTAGTTACGCTAGTAGCGTCGCTACATGTAGCTAGCTACTCCCCAACACTGATCATACATCACTGTTAACTGCAAATTTACCTTCAGAGCTGGAAACACCTGCACGTGCCTTCTCACTCACACACACAAACAGATCTCTCATGTCTCAGGTAGATACATGAAGAAACATTAACTGAGAAAGGTATATCTAGACATTCATATCTTTCTTTTTATGTTTCAATCATAGATTTCAAACATTATTCTATTTTATTCTTAGTGCAATCTCATTGACACACTAGATATAGAAACAGAGCTCAAGAACAAACAGAGAGCAGGTCACACAGTCAAGAGTTCATTGTTCAAACTGATATGAAACTCAAATGCCTTGTTCTCACATACCGCTGGAGGTCACAAGGTCACTGTACTGTTAGTTGGTCGTTAACTGGTCATAGCTTGTCAACAGTCTGATCACAAATGAGATATATTGCAATTTGAAATAGGATGCCATTGTATTTTGACAAGAAATAAGTTAATCTTTTCTTAACTTTGTTGCATCGCTGGGCACGCCCACATCACTCATGTGACTTCCATTTGCTATATTAATCACAAAACATAGGCTTTGTTCACTAATAGCTGGAATCTGATTTTTAGGCACAATTAACACAAGTCAGTTTAATTTATTTAGCCTGAACACCACAAAAGACACATGCCATTTTTAATGTTTACAAAGCTATTCCAGATCATCACAAGGCACGTTTTTCCATGCACCTCATGAGGAACATGAGGCAAATTTTCCATTTTCCGCTTGTCGCTTTCAGTTGTTTTAGAAGAAAGTCACTTGGCACTGCATTAACGCCTACTTCATTGCTATAGCAACAAATGCATAAACCAGATATTGCACTTACTGAATAAACACATCTGATTTGAGTGCTTGTAAAATAAGAGTACACAGTAGGGTCTGAAGATTAGACCTGAAAAACAAATCACAATTAAATGCATTGTCATGTTCACATTTTATTCTGAAAACTATTAAGGAAAATATTTTCTTTGCACACTTTGAATCTAAGTTATTTATTCCCACTTAATAGACTTGTTGGCAAAAGGTTATGCAGTGCAAGATAGGTTATTTGGTAAAGTACAAGTCTTTACAATGCTTTAATCAAGAGCGGGAATAGAAATATTCATACCCCGTAGATATAGCGTTTCAGCCCACTTAAGGGTGCCAATCACAGAGATGTGAGGCACTGTGCAGGAGTGAGAGACAAGAGTGTTTGCCAAGAAGACATGCCTTCTGAACTGGAATGACTTTGGAGTTTATCCAGGCCACTGTTGAATCCTGCTCACTCACACCCAGTCAGCTGATGGTTGTTGATTTAACGGATCTGTTTACAGCAAAGTCTTTCAAAAGCATACATTAATATTTGCACATAATCACAGAACTGTATCTCTCTAGAAATGCTTAATGAAAACCTTTCTAAAAAGACCACGACATTTCTTTGGTCTTTGGAAAATACTCCGTGGTTCAAAGTTTGGGGTGGGTAAGGTTTTATTTTTAGAGGAATTCATGCTTTTATTCAGCAAGGATGCATTACATTGTGCTAAAGTGGGGGAGGGGGATATATTAAAATACAGTACAGCACAATAATACTGCCATTAAAAGTAGTCTACTGTGTTTTAACAGAAAATATCTAGCTACTGATTTCAGTCATAGCACACACTAATCCTTTACATGCAATCTGCTAGGAATCACATTATTTACTACATGACACATGCTCACTGGCCTCTGATTCTGCAGCCAATGAGATTGCTTGCTCAAGATTTAAATAGTCTGGTTCATTGTTTGCTGTAAGCTGGTCCTTCAGAGTTCCTCTGAGACCCTCCATCTTCCCCAGCTCCACTTGTCTATATATGCTACGGGATTTATGTATGCTTTATGCTAAAACTATTCAGCTTTGCCATCACAGGAATAAATTACATTTTAAATATATTAAAATACTGTTATTTAACGTTAATGTTATTTATTTATTTAAAAATGTTAATGTTATTTATTTATTTATAAATAAAAAAATGTAATGCAGTAATATTACACTATACTACCCTTTTTACTGTACTTTTGATCAAAATATTGCAGCCTTGGTGAGCATAAGAGACTTCTTTCAAAAACATTTGGAAATTTTACTGACCCCATACTTTTGAATGGTGTGTGCATTTTGATGCTGTTATGCACAAATGCACATGAATTGTTATCATAGAAAGGCATGCAGTGAGAGATCGAATGAGATAGCAGGAATGATAGAGCAAAGTGTTTTTAAAATGTCTTTTTTTTTGGAGAGTATTTTTAATATTCATTCATTTATTATTACCATGATATTAGCATTACCAAAGTCTGAAACAAGCATCATCATTTTAACACACATGCACACAACATAATTTAATTTTGATGACTTTCTCAAATATCGGTTTTCAGTGATTCATCAGGCACATGTGATGCTGGTCAAACCACAGCGCACTAACACTCACAAACCATAAATACACAGACAATCAGTGGTTATTAATGTTCTTTTAAATGGCGCAGAGTAAAACCTAAGACTGAAAAGATGACTGATAAAAGTTAATACAGTGTGAGTTCTTGTGTATGTTGTGTCTCAAATCTTAAACCTCCCTTTGATGTTTATCACAAACGTGGTCATGAACGACTCTTTTTTTATTTTTATTTAAAAAAAAAATTCATAAAGAAATTAATACATTCACATGAGATGAAGCTCTTGTTTTTCTGCATGCGAAAGCATGGTGCCCCTGATGGTGGCCACCATGTAAGGTCATCTGACCATGTGACAGTAATGTAGTGCACCATTAACAATTTTTTGGCATGTTAATTCGCTTTTTGCCTTTTTATACATTTTTTCTGTTTTTCCTGTTTAGAGTTGAGAGTAAACAGCTGCTTCACAAACACACACAAAACAAACAGACACGCACACACGTACTCAGAATGCAAGAGCATCATACCACATCCGTTCCATCTTCCCTGGAGCATGCCATGATGTAGGTACACAAGACAGAACTGCTCTCGAGGTCAGATTTATGATTATTTGTGTTCCATTCCCACCTACAAAATGAGAGATGTTTTTTATGAGCATGAGCACACACATAGCACTCATAGCCACCTGAATGATTTCCATGTGACCTACATGACAGTCATAAGACATCATCTTGAGAAATCAGTGGTTGTTTTGCTATTTGGAACCACAAATGCTTATTAAACTAGCAGAAGGACAGACTGAGGGAAAAGTCCTCCGTTTCTGATATAAACATTGACACATGCATACAACATGATTTATTTTAAAGGGGTCATATGATGCAATTTAAATTTTTCCTTTCTCTTTGGAGTGTTACAAGCTCTTGGTGCATAAAGAAGATCTGTAAAGTTGCAAAGACTAAAGTCTCAAATCCAAAGAGAGAGTCAGCCACACCTACCTAAAATGGCTCGTTCTAACACGCCCCCACATATCTACCTCACTATGTGGGAAGATTTGCATAACGCCGCCCAAATGTTCACGCAAAGAAAGAAGGAGTAACTTTTATTCTCACTGTAGTATTGTTGACGCTGCAGCCATGTCGGGAAGGAGATGTGTGCTTCGTTGTGAAAGCGAAACTACTTTGTTTGGTCTTCCAAAAGAGGACGATATCTGCTTTGTCATGCCTAGAGCTGATCTGTGCTGGTCGCTGAGGAAATACATCAACTTTGCGCTGTGGATCGCC